CAATATCAATGCTGCAGATTATATTATTAATGCAATGGTAATGATGATGATTATTTAACAATAGCTAAAGGACTGAATGTTATTTGTGACCATTTACTGTGTTAAAAAACTTTCTGGCTCTGTCTCCTCTTAGTTCAACATTCCGAAATCCCGATTTTTAAATAAAATGATCGCATCAACCCGTGAAAGAAACCTCAGCAGATGCGTTAAAACTAGTGGTTTGATTAAATGAAATACTTGTGAACAGGCTGACATTACCCATTCCGAAGAAATTCCCATTTGTGCCGTTTTTAAAATAAAATGTTTGCATCACTGCAAGCTGAGATATTGTCAGATTCACAAAATTAGTGTGATTAAAACACTATTACCAAGACTTTTGACTAGATATAAATAAGAAGCATTCCCGCATTTGTTAAGGTGCACTGTGAAGCAAAACAGCTTCCACTCCGCCCGCAAAACAAAGAATTGCTTTTAAGAACACATATGTCTGCATAAGTGAATGTTGAGATTCACCAAAGTGATAAAAATAGTTTAATTAAAAACCCTATGGTTTGATTAAATTAAAATCCAGTTAAAAACACATGAACTCATATAACCTCTGTGACGCCCTGTGTTTCCACACATGAACTCGCGTACCCTCAACACACCTGAACGCGCATGCGCACACGCACGCACAAAACCGGTCAAACAGGTTGTCAAACCGGTTTGGTTGGCCGCCATATTGGACTAATGCCCCCGTATTACTACTCTTCATAAATATCTTAAATCAAGCTTTCAATTACCTTTTTTAAACAGAATCGTGACACTTTATGATTAAGTTCTAAATAAACAGACATTCAACTATGCATTAAACACAGCCAAATGGACCAAAACTGGGCCTCAATAACAGGAGGAATCACTTCATCAGACAGCAACAGATAAATATGATGCTGGTGGATCCACATGGCCACAGCCCTCCCTCTTGCTTTCTGCTCTCTTCATCCTCTCCATGTCTCTCTTTTCCTATCTATAGCCCAAGTGCTGATTAACTCCCCATGAGGCTGAAGCCTTGAACACCACAGTGGCCTTCGAATTAAAGAACCCTCTTCCTGTGCAATCAGCAGCCCCTTCCTTCTCCTCACAAGTGATGTTGAGCTTCCTCGCAAGTCCAAGAAAATAAACTCAATTTTTCAGCCTCTTTTCCTCAAAGGTTTGTCTGAGTAGTGAGTAAGCAGTCCAAGTGTCGGAGCTTGGAGGAAAGAGGCCAGACCCCTGCAGAGTCGACAGGAACCTGAATTTTCAGTGAGTCTTCACAGCTTTCTGAGCACGTGGTGAGTTGTGAAGATGTGGTGGCGTTCGGATCGCTGCAGCAGATCTCAGCCAGGGAGGTCATCAAAGTTCAGCTGTCAATTAGTGTCTGTTAACGCTATGTTGCCCCTGTAGGGGGACTTGTTTTCAGTTCCTAATTGTTCATCCACAATAAACACATAAAACCATGAAAGCAGTAGCACTTTGTAAAGCCTCTGTGACACTTTAAGAAAGGTAGTAAAATTTGCCAATCGTCTGTCAAATGAGACTGAAGTCTGCATGCCCTTTGTGAGAATGATAATAAAAAGATCTATGTAATTACGAGAAGAAAGTCTTCTTGGTTCCCAAAAGCAAACATTTGGATATGATTTTCTTTTTTATTTAAGGTTAAGTGTTTCCTGAGGCTTCCTTGAGGTTTAGATTTTTTTATTGATGTGGAAATATTTCTTTTATTTTCCTTTATGTTGCAGTCAACCCAGTTCTGACTGACTCATATGCTCAGCTAATAAAATGCAAGCGCAGAGAGTCAGCATGCACTCACCTCACAGATTGTTTAACTCAATCTGAGCTTTCATCCTGAACCCGAGGTCACAGAAATTTTTGTTCCATTTATTGTCTGTGGGGACCTTTAACCTGTGACCTCATTACTGCTGCTGTTGTTGATGTTGACCTCAAAGGATCACACAGTTGGTCCCAGTGCTGCAGGAGGAACAAAGCCAGAAAAAAAAGATTTTATTGAACCACACACTACACACACATACACATACAGAAGCTTGTGCGAGGCCCGTGGCATTTAATTACTAATTCTCACAGTGTTTATTGTATTAAGTTATACATTAGCATATAAAGCAAATAAAAATTGAACTTTACACAAAAACGTTGCATTTTGTTTTGCCCGTGCACCAAGGCTGACATGTTTCCACATTTATTCCAAGTAGACTTTTGTTATTTGGCTGTTTAATTGATTTTACACACAGTTTTTGTGTAGTTTTTTGTTGTTTTGTTTGTTTTTGGGGGGATTTATGTAAAAAATCCAAAAAAAATTTATGAAAAATTTATCTCTGTGAACTTCTCCTTACATACTAGGACATGTACAGTGGGGGACATAATTATCTAATCCCCTGCTGAATTTGCAAGTTTGCTCGCTTACAAAGAAACAAACTGTCTCTAATTTATATGGTATTTTTGTCTTATGGAAAGAGACAGAACTGTGTGTTTGTTAGCAGTCTGAATGGCCCAGGGGAAGAAGTTGTTAGTCAGCCTGGAGGTGTGGGACCTGACTTACCTGAAGTGTCATCCAGAGGGCAGCGGGTGGGCACGATGCAAGGGGTCACCTGTGATGGCTCTTGTTTTCCTGAGACAGGAAGATCTGGTGATGACCTCCAGGGGGGTCAGAGGGCAGCCAGATTTTTTAGGCAATGGTAATTACCCTCCGCACAGCCTTCCTGTTCTCAGTTGTATCTCCTGAGTACCAAACACCAGGCAGGAGGAGAGCATGCTCTCCACTGAAGAGCGGTAGAAGGCCAGAAGCAGCTTATGGTCCAGGTTTTTCTTCCTCAGGACACAGAGGAAGTGCAGCCGCTGCTGGGCCTTCTTTTCCAGGGCGATGGTGTTGTGGGTCCAGGTGAAGTTGGCAGAGATGTTGGTGCCCAGAAACCTGAAGGTGGAGATAGATTCCACCTGTTCACCATTTCTAATGTGAGATATATCACTGAGTGAGAAAAAGTCTTTGATCCCTAAGGAAAACATGTCTTACTAACTTGGTGGAGAAACCCTTGTTGGCAAGCACAGTGGTAAGACATTTCTTGTAGTTTGTCACCAGATTTGCTCCAGTTCCCGCTGCAGATTTTCTACACAGTTGAGGTCTGGAGATTGGCTAGGCCACTCAGTGACATAATGTGCTTCTTTATTACCTTGGTGCTATGTTTTGGGTCATTGCCATGCTGAACGGCCATCCCAACCCATCTTTAGTGTTCTGGCTGATGTAAAGAGGTTCTTGTCCAAGATTTACAGTACATTGTTCTGTCCAGTGGCCTCTCATTCTGGTGCTTGATTATGGGGATAATATTCTTTGGGACATACTCAGCATACTTGAGCTTGATTTTTGCTTCATATAACAGGTGATGGTGATTTTATATTTCTTCCACTTCTGACTAACCACACCAAGACTTGTCACCTACTCCCTAAGCTTCTTGCTGATGGTTTTGGTGCCCATTCCAGACTTGGAGGCCTACAGTCTTGTCTTTTATTCTTTTGACAGCTCTTTGTTTGAGCCTATGGTGGTAGAAAGGTTGGAAGAAATTGTGGACAGATGTACTTTATACACATCACAAGATGAGATCAAGAGCATCCATAATCTGTGTGCCTGATGGGCATACTGCCAATCTGTAAGAGTCAGAGTTCTGGATTCTGGCTGAGTTGTAGGGAATCAATTACATGTTTCACTCAGTGCCATGCAAATCAGTTTAAAGCTTCTTGTGTTTTTCTGGATCTTTGGTCCCTTAAAGTTAAAGTACCATAAGAAGTACCATAAGCAGTGGATCAAATAATTATTTCTCCCACTGTTTGGTTTGATTGAAATGCAGCCATACCACATTTAGCTTGTCATGGGGTCTGTTTGGTGTTTTTTGGCTGTTCAGTGAACATGACCTAATCTCAGCATGGCTGAGAGAAGTACTTATTATTTTCTGCATGGCTGAGAGATATGCATTACTTTAAGTGTTATTTTATCCTAAAAAAATGGTTTACTGTTTTATTATTATTTGGATCTAATTTATTCGGTTGCATGGTGGTGTTAAACAGCTAAATATATGGTACTCACATTTTCCATCTCCTCTAGAACACAAGGATTTTCTTGGAAATTGTTAAAAGCTCAGACATATAAGATCTGTAGCTTTTATGAATCTTGGAGGACACAGGAGGATGTTTTTCAGCTAGAAGGTCAATTCGTCTGGATATTAGAAAAAAAAGTATTCCTCCACTTAGTAGAATTTTTCCAGACAGCTGGTTTTCACATGAGGTGAAAGTTTAAATTTCTGTTTTGAGTGAAACTAGTGGACGCTGGAGTAACAGAAAGATTGTTTCTGTTTGACGGCACACTTGAAATTCCATTCAGCTGCACTTTACTGGAAATATTTCTGTGAAGGTTCTCAGTCCAGGTCCATTTCACCATAGATGCCCTCCAGATCAAGATCAGCCAGACCCAGCAGGAACTGGAAATCCTTCTACCCTCTCCAATCTTAGAAGAGGTTTACAAGTTTGTGGACAAGGCTCAGCGGGCCCAACACTCTAAAGGAAAAGAAAGACAACGCAGGAAATTTCACACCTTGCTGTCAAAAACACACACTCCTCATCCTGAACCTACACAACCCAGAGAAGAAAACACACCTGATGCCAGTCAGGAGAAATGGGTTAAGAACTTTTCAGACAGGATTCTCACTGAACCTGAAAAGAGAGTATTAGCCAAAGGACTCAATTTTGCCATTTCTCCACAACAGTTGCCCATAGTGGACCTCATCACAGCCACAGAAACAGCCATACGGATTAATAAATTATCACAGACAGAAGCAGAGCAAATCAGGATGAA